AATGTATTGTTTATATAATAATAAACTATAAATACCTTTCTTCTAAAGCCTTCGTTCTGGATTTTTAGCTGTAAAAGCCAGAAGTCGGAACTTGATTGTTTTTGCCCCAAGTGAGTGGTTGAAAAATAGCATAAAATGTCCTGCTTCTTTGTTTTTTCTCAGATATTTTAATTCTTATATATTTATGATGTGATAATAGACAATGTGGTTATTTTTTGCGGAGCCTTCGTTTTGGATTCTTATCTATAAAAGCTAGAAGCTTAAACTTGGATGTTGTTGCCTCAAGCGAGTGGCAGACAATCGCTGTAAAATGATCCACCTCTTCGTACTTTCTGAGATGTTCAAATTTTAATACATTGCTGACATAATAATAATCGATGTATATTATTATTAGATAAGCCTTAGATCTGGTATTTTAGTTATGAAAGCCAGAAATACGAACGAGTACGAATGCTAGCATAGGTTCTCATGAGATTTTGGGTTTGGGATATAATCGAGGATAATTAAAGGTCATTCGACTGATGTGAGTTATTGCCGGTTTTTAATACTATTTTTATCTACTTTGTAACAAATTTGCTTTGTTTTAAAGTAATTATTCTAATTTTAAAATTTTGTTCTTGGAATGTTTAGAACTTTAGTTTTAGAAAATTCAAGCCGGTAAACATCACAGTTTTTTCTGCTTCTCTTCTTTATCATCGTTATTGTTATTAATATGCTTATTATTATTATCATTATTATTATTATTTATTTTTTTATTTTTCTTTAGTTATCTGAGGTCGTTGAGAATACCTTAATGCACGATAAAAGAGGGTACCAACCCCTTCCTTGTGTGGAACTCGCAGTCGTTCTAGAAATGCTTATGTCTTTATACGATGTTCTTAGCGATTCTGACTAAATACACACCAAACTGGCAAGACCTATCTTCTGTGACACCTGGCTTGGAACCCGCTATCGCATCAATACTTCGAGTTGGAGTCACCGAGTGTTGACCATTGACGTGTCCTTCCATTGGATGGTCGTCAACGTCTTGATATTACCGTCTCTGTATTCCGTCTGGTCGTCCGCTATTTTGCGGGTACATCGATTCCCGTTGGGTTTTCTTGCTGATGGCTAAAGTAAGTCGGCACTGTTTGGATCTGCAATGGTCATCTAGCTTTGATCCCCTCTTCTAGTACCTTTCTAAATGCTGGACAGCTACTGCTACCTGTTCCGTGTTTGTTACGTTCTATTCCGCAAGCGAAACTTCGAGCCTTTTCCTTTGAATCTTCCTTGTGGTGATAGCAGGTGCTACATTAGTAGCATAGCTCTGATTAGTCCTCTTTCATGCAGTTACGGGCTATGTGTACATACCCCAGATACCGGTAGCATCTGAGGAATTCAACAGTCTTTCAAGCGTTCACCAAAGTTACTCTTTTCCCTATCCTATTCGCTCCTAGCAGCGTCACTGTTCTCATCTGTGGTGAACAACCAGGGATTTCACTCAATGTAAGTTTGACGTCAGCCTTCTTGGTGATTGAATCCAGATCCCAGATTGTAAGCGTAACCCTTTTCTTGTCTGCTTTAACGGATCCTAGCCCTCTCTAATGGTCTTAGCTAGCGATATACTGCTAACCAGAGCTTCTCTGTCCTTTACTCTTTTAACTTTGAGAAGAAGGTCTCTTTTTAGTCGTATTGACTCCTTTGACTGTGGTTTCATCCTTTTCTGGATTGAAATCAGTTCTCATCTTCTTTAGGACCTCAGCAAAGCTCTTCTCTTCTATGACGAATTTATCGAGAATTTTTTTCTCCTTTTTTTTGGCATTATTTCGTTTGCCACTATCACTGCCATGGCTTATCTTGAGGGTAAACTCTTAATTTTTTTTGGGTCTTTTTCCCTTTTTTAGAAGAGCAATTAGGAGTCTCCTTCAAAGCTTCTGACCCCTGTTTTGATTGCCTATTAGCGTGCTTTTCAGGAATCGTCATCGTCGTCGTCGTCGTCGTCGTCGTCGTCGTCGTGGTAATAGATCATGAAAATCAAAGTGAAATATAAATTTAAATATAAAAATTAAGATGTTCATACATAATTCTCAACAGCAAATGTCAAGCTAGAACTTACGCGATCAACTTACTCTTGACTAAGCAAAATTAGGAATGATGCTTCTAACTGATTTTATGGGCCTGTTATATAGGTTCAAAAGCTTGTAAGAGATAACTAGAAAGAGAGAAAGAGAGAGAGAGAGTGAGAGAGAGAAGATAGGGAATAATACCAGAGGGTCGAGTAGTCTACGCTGGGGATAGTAGGCAAATGTGTGTAGTGGAGGGTATATTAAGAGCTTGAAAGGAGGCGGAAAGGTCAGTCGACAGCAAGTTGGTTGAGAAGTTGGACCTACCAGTCCAGGCCTCGAGTCGTGTATGTCGCGCACGTGTAAGACAACGACTTAACCCTCCAGCTCTCATACCATTACCCTGTATAGGTAATTGGGATGAAGAGTAGGGGAAACTTGAGAAAAGTGGGTAATCAGTAAATGTAAGAAGCATGCTGAAGCTGGCGAGGTGAGTTGACAACGAGTTTGTCAAGAGATCAGACCTGCGTGATCATTGACTATATTGTGGAAATTCAGGGCCTTAAAAGGTCCAAGAATATTTTTATTCCCAACGAGCTGGTTACTTTACCACTCAAGGCTGATGCTCAGCAAGAAAATTTTTTACGCCAGCCTTACATGTAAATGGTGTAAGCTTCTACATAAGAAATGCACTGTTAATGGTTGGCTGGAAATAGACTTTCATGAGATACCATGAAACTTAAAATGTACATCTTTCTCTAGAGTTATATTCATTTTTTGATATTTCTTAAAAGACGCCAACATCATTTGCTACAAGGCACGGAAAAAAATCGGCTAAAAGAAATATTGTCGGAGAAGTAAGTACTTCGAGCAATAATTGATAATTTTTCAAACAATCTTAATTCTACTATGTTCCACACATCTGCAGTGCTGAAGGCTTGGGTCGTCCCACTGTCAGTACAACAAATAAAAAGTATAAAGCATGCTCTGTTTATCGTTTATGCTCAAAACCTGTTTGTGCTGTAAAAATTTATCTGCTTTAAGGGAATGGCTAAGAAAAAATACATGATTTTTCTCCACTGGTCGGGGCAGTATAAGCCTTCTACCGCTTTCTTCTTACATAATCGTTCAAGTATTTAACTAAAATATAAATAGAATCTGGTAAATGTATTTACGAACAAGAAATTATTTATTTTATGAAAAGCATACATTGGTTGTGGTGCAATAGGGTCGTGTACATCTGTAAATTTCTATAAATGTTATACGTTGATTTTATGAAAATATAGCTAACTAGTGCCCCCCCCCCCCGGTCTCAGCTTCGCCCAAGACTCACTGAATGGAACACCGTAGTGTGTTGACATGTGATGCGAAACGTTTTCAGTTTAAAATTTTATGTCTATTTCTTACCCTTCCGAGAACAAATATCTTCTTGTTGAAAACAAATTTGTTCGGAATTCATACAGTTTATTTGGTTAAGTAAAAAGTTGTAAAAAGTGATAAAATATAATTATGCTAAAAAGTACCGTGCACTTCTTATGCCACAAAATAATCGTTGGCCCTAACACACCGTTGATTTGAAGTTTCTCTTGTATAATATATAAACAGGGCTATCTTTTACAGCTGTAAAGATTTAAAACTCACAAAAAATATGTAATTGAAAAAAAAAATTTCTCATGTTTATAACTTTTTGTAATATAACTTCTCACAAAAGTTACTTCAAAAAATTGTTTTAATATTTATTGATACTTTTGAATGTTAAAGTTGTTTTAGGACTAGTTGAAGCAATAAATGTTCATATTTCTTCGAATTCAGCTGGCTTGGATAAAGATTTTTCTGAATTTTTCAATTATCTAGTCTTATTATGTGCTAACTCCTTAAACAGTTTCAACTCTTCAGCTAACACGACTATTACTACAAAAACAAGCGCCTAAATACTTTTTTCGTCTACGTTTATACTTAAATGGCTAATAACATCATTTTTGTTGTTGAGACAAAGGTCCTACTTAACTTTCAACCAATGGTGACAAATAGTATATGGAAACAGCGTGAAAAACGATTTCTCGTAACTTTTAATCTGTTAAACATCAATAAATTATTTAGGCGTTCTATTTAATAACTTTAAAAAACTGTGGAATCAAATAAAAATATAAGAGAAAACTAAGTATGTGTAGTTGACTGTATCTTGCTAAGTAATAAAGTTTAACATGCACTGAGACAAGTTTTACAATGTATTTGTTTTTGTTTTATAAGTTGTACTATGTGGTTGTGTTACAAAGATTTATAAATAATATTATCTATTTTTTCAAAAACTAATCTTTTGCTTAAGCTATAAAACAACACAACTTTTAAATAATTCAAAATATTGATTATTATATGCGTAATAACGAAAAAACGTTATAAATGGAGATGTAGCAGTTGTCTTGAAAAATATATTGCTGGAATCAAAAGTATGCTGCTGGATTTTATCCCTAAAACCAGTTGCGTACATAAAATTCCGAGCAGACTTTATTTCACTATATTTGAATACGGTTTTTCTGCAAATTAAAGCAATGAAAAGGTTAGTTTTGATATTTGCATAGCTCTTTATACCAACTAGACCGTAGACAATTCAGAAGTCCTAATGTAATACTACGTAATTTCGTCCAAGTCAAATTTTTTAAACATGTGAATTATTATTTTTTATTTTTTACATTGCAAAGAAAAATGATACTAAATAATAAAATTTTTATTTAAATACTGTAGACTATTTCTTTAACTGTTGGAAAATTCGATGTTCTTCAAATCTATCATTACACTACTCACAATTTATTTTTTAAACAACTGCTGATATTGTTTCAATATTAAATGCCGTATCTTTTACCTTGTCAATTCGAGTAATACTATTATTATTATTTTAATTTCTTCAACTTATTTAATAAATGTAGTTTTTTTATTAAAATATACTTTTTTACAGTTCATTTCAGGCATAAGGAAGTTATTATTTATCCAGATGACCACACTAAGCCTCCTGTTGGGGAAGGTTTAAATCGTAAGGCACAAGTGACACTTGATCGTGTATGGCCTCATGATAAGTGCAGTCATGAACCAATCACTGATCCAAAGCGATTAATTGAGATGGATTATGAAGGAAAATTAAGGAGGGTTTCTGCAAAACACGATACAAGATTTTTAGAATACAGACCAGAAACAGGGTCATGGGTGTTTAAAGTAGACCATTTTTCTAAGTATGGATTAAGCGATTCAGATGATGAAGAGGCTGTAGTCAACGAAAAATCTAAGAAAGAAATAATGAAAGCTACGGAAATTCAAAAGTTTTCTGAAAGTCTTGTAGACAAAAAACTTTTTACCAAGAAAACATGTTTCGTACACTCCTTTTACTCAACCGATGACTATGATGAAGAAGGGTCAAATAAACTAGAAGCACAGCAAAAAAAAAGTAAGTTGAATGATGCAATTTTCCAAAATAATTTTTTTCTCATGTCATTATCAATTCAGATGATTCAGGAAAAATTCTTTCGACAAATACAATTCAAAGTTCTTCTGCTGTTAATGCTCATCTTGCGGGTACTAAATCTCATACTCTACAGTTAATGAAAGCAAGTTTTTTTGAGTTAGGTAACCTATCTTTTCCTGAAGGTAAATTACTGTATACACAAATATTATTAATTATTAAAAAACATATGCTCATTTTTATACATGATAATAGAGTATTTTCAAAATGATGAATCCATTGACCAAAGACACCTATCATTCGTTGAAGCTGGTACTGGACTTCAACAAAAAAAAACACGAAATTCTTTAGATGAGTTAGCTCCTTTGTCTAGTGTCAACTTGTTGAGAAACCAATCAGCTTATACAAATAAATCCATATGTGACGTAGAAGTATTAAGGAATTTCAGTAAACTCGTAAAGAATTCGACACTAGAATTTCAGCCAAAAGTATTTAATTCAGAATATCAATATTCTACGGATTTGGAAATCTTTGATAGCAATGAGTGTTATCTCAAATGTGTGGCAGATATTGGTAAGATTGAATTTAATTTTCATACGCTATGATACAATTGGGTTTAGTTACTAATTTTGCCAATTCTATAGGCCTGATATTAAGCTTTTCTTAAGGAGGGGTGGTGATGGAGCAGTTAGTGAGCTTGATATAATATTTGTTGGGTAATAATAACGTAGAAATAAGACGAATTTCACCTTAATTTGTGAGGAGGCGGTGGCCGAGCAGTGGGGGGACGGTGATGGTTTTTTGAGGGCGATAGGGGGCAGTAGAGGATTATGTGAAATGCCCTACACATTTGACTACGTAATATAGGAATATATATGTATATACACATATATAATGACTTTACTTCTGTAAAAAAAAATGTTTGCCGAAATAGCCTCTTATTATAAATTTTTGTTTTTTATGTACATTTGTTTTTTTATTCCTACCGTGTGTTGACACACTTTCTCCCCTTTAATATTGTCTTCTTATCTTATTCAATTATATCTGTTACTAAAATTTTTTATTAGAAATTGTACTTTTCAAATCGTCTTACAACTTTCTTTTATTTTTGAAATTATAATAATGTTATGCTAATAATCTCCAGTTTTTTCTTAATTTTGACATTATTATGTTGTTATAAGTTATAACGCTTACTGTTATTATCACCAAAAATGTATTGTAAAATTCACATTCCTTATATTATTTCCTATAGTATAAGTCAACTTTAAATTTTCATATATAATTGTTACAAAATTATCATGAATTTCAACAAAACCTTTTAATTCAACTTCTATTCCGAAAATTCTATTTCTTGCTATCAAAATATTTACATGCAACATATATTACATTTTGAGAATAAAATCACATGACTCATAATTTAAAATAAAAAATAAAGTAGTTATATTACATTACACATTTCTTATTTCGGAATAGAATGTTAAGGGTTGGTGCACGAAGCGTGCATGGAAGGGAGGGGGGCGACGCCGAACTATTATATCGACGTCTCTTACGAAGACTAACAGAGCTCAGACTTTCCTATGCTAATCCAAATAGTATAGTCCGAGGAGCGTTAATCTTTGCAAAAGGCGTCAATATATCCTTGTAAGGCTCCTCCAAAAGTCTCACTTATATTTTACTAAGCCTTGAAAAATTATATTAATAATTGTTTAGTAGGTAAAAAATGTATTAAAGTTGATCTGTTCAGATTCAGAGAGCTACGACATTTCTTGGAAATGCTCACGAAGACACGATCTGAGAGGGAAGCTGGTGGGAAATTACAATTCTGCTTTTAAGGACATGTAAGAAATAGAATTTCTTTTTCAGATGTAGGTGGTAAAGCTCACGTAGAAAAAAAAGATCTGCTCTTGACTACTCTTTCTATTGAGGTAAACTTAAGTATCTCTGCCACTGGCCTTTAGTTTGAAATAAGTAGTCTATCCGTTATTTATCTGTAGACTTTTTTTAAATTTATTTTTAAGTAAGCACGCTTTGTCTTTTTTCCATTGTTTGCATTTTACACTTTCCCTATTACAAAATAGTGCCGCATTGCGATGCTTCACCAGCTAATCACACGAAATCACGTAAAATTCCGCTTGTTTCTGCATGATTTATAAAGAAATTAAATTGAATAAAAAGCATCTCTTGCTATCCCATAACCACCTCGCAGTGATGGTTGCCAACAAAAAGAGATGTATGCCCTATAGTTGGTAGACATGTTAAAAATGCCTATGATACTTAATTCTGTTAAGTCTTTTCATACAATAGAAATGGGAGAATTTATAAGTATGTATAAAGTCTTAGAAAAATCATCCTTTAGTACCGTTTTATTTTAAATAGAATAGTGTTACATACCGGTGAATATCGCTTTAAGATTTTCATCACAAACAGGTTTTTGATAGATCTTATTGAAATATTTGACTTACATTTGTTGTTGTGTAACAAAATTACGTTTTATTAAGTTTTGTATGATAGATTACTATTACTATGAGGTACACTAATTAAATTCAAATGGATCTTTAAATGGTTACTTTTATAAAATAAAAAAGAAGGGATCTAGTATGCATGAAAAAGTGAATAAAGCATTTTACGTCAACACTCCAAGTACGTAGCGCGAGTGCAAAATAAACATATTTTTTAGTTCGCTGCTATGCTACAAATATAATTTTATTTTATAAATAGTTGAGATATGTTTTCAATGTATTTTTTTCCTCTTTTTTTAAGTG